TGAGAAATCAAACGCTTTAATGCATTGCTACCTATATGTCCTAATCTAAAATGCCAAAGATGATTAATATCACTAGAATTAACAATATAAGCAGAATTAGATGCATCTTTATTTATACTAATAGCATACATATTGTCTTTGGCATAGCCTTTCCCAACAAAAGATCCTTTCTTGGAAATGGTAACTTTTGGGGAATCAAATACAACTTTAAACCCATGATCATCAAGTTTTTTGACATAAATTAAACTTTTCCTAAGACCTGGAATATGATACACATCTTGCAAAGTGAGAATTTTTCCAAAAGTCAAAGAAAGTTTTACTGTCCCTTTACCAACAACTGCACATGTGGAAGAATTTCCCATGAAGACAGATTTTTCTCCATTCATTTCTTCATATGTCTTGAAAGAACTTTTAAATGGAGTCACATGACATGTTGCTCTTGAATCAAGCCACCAATCATCCTCATTGTTTATAACAAGTAATTCAGTGAACATAGCCACCATATCATCCTTTGTGATGATATTTGTTTCACAAATTTTCTTACCTTTACGGTCATAGCATTGCATAGCAACATGTTGCAATTTTCCACATACAAAGCATGGTCTTTTCTTCTTTTTGAAAGTTGCCAAGTTCTTGCCATTTTTGCCTTTCATTGAAGAAGACCCTTTTTGCCCTTTCTTGAACTTGAGATTGGGTTTCTTGGAAAACGATGCTAGCCCTTCCAAAGCATTCACATTATCACTCTTTTCTTGACCATCCCTTTTCCAAGCCTCATATTCAATCTGGATGTGCTTCATCAATTCATCCAATTTCAAAGACCTTTTCTTGTGTTTAAGGAATTTTTGATAATCCTTCCACGAATGTAGTAATTAACCAATTATGGTAGACACTTGAAAGGTCTCAGAAATTGGTTCACCGGCATCAGCACATTTCGTTGCAATATCATTTAATTCATTGACTTGATTAATGACAGGCTTAGAATCACTCATCTTAAAATCAATATATTTGTTGACAAGAAAAGATTTGTTGCCAGCATCCTCATTCACATACCTTTGTGCTATTGCATACCATAACTCAAGAGTAGTGGAGTGTTTGTGAAAAGCATTGAAGAGAGAATTTGTCATGGCTTGCAAAATGGTTAGACGGCAAACATAATCATCTTCAAGCCATTTGCCTTGCTGCTCAATCAATTCTCCATTTACAGTGCCGCTACAGTCTTGTGGATATGGATTATGCAAGACATATGCCACTTTCAAAATGGGATTTGATAATAAATCTTCATGCTCCACCGCTTGTAATTCAACCCATTGAAGCATTCCAGCTTTTCAACATCGATGTACGGTTTGACAATTCCAAACTCCATTTGGAAAGACTATTATCCTTAAATTATTGTAAGTAAAGAGTTGTAGATGCAGTTGTTGTGAGCAAGGCAGTTCCAGGAACCTTTCTTAAGAATAATAGTTTCCACCTCTTTGTAGGAAAGGTTATCCCCAGAATACAATGCCCACTAAAATAAACTTTAATTACCCAACCAATATACTGAAAATTGAAAAGCAAAGTGCAGAATTCAAGGAAGAAGAAGATGAAGAAAAAAAAAACTCAAAGTGTTTCCAGAAGACTTAATCTTTTTTTTTTCTTGGGACTGTGTTATTTATCTACAATTCCCAATCGGTGTCTTTACACCGATATAAAACAGATACACCCTTCAAGAATCGTAACTCTTCGGTATCTGATATATTTATATCAGATAATATTTCAAGCCTTTTGCCTGTTACAGACGGTTTTCTCCAATTTAAATTCAACTTTCAACTTGTAGATAAAGCAGTTACCAAACAGGTTTCAACCACTCCTTATCTTTATCTTTATCTTTTTCTTCCTTGTCTGACATTGCCCCATGTTTCAAGCCTTTAACCATACCCCCATCACATGCATCCCTTAAAGTCAAAAGTGAAGTGTATATATATATAATAACATATATTATAAAATATTATATAAAGTAAATAATAAATATATTATTAAAAAAAA